TTTTTAACATTTTTATAAATTTCATCAAAATTATAACATCAGGCAATCATTAATTATTGCTATTGCAGATTTACAGTTTACTTATTATTTTAATTACATTATTAACTACTTATATGGAACTATTTTACATTTTYAAGTTTTTTTGGTCTATCAACAAATTGTTTATTGAATATAATTTAAAATTAATTCAAAGAAATTTCTAATGGTTATAAATAGCTCAAAAAGAGTTGTAATATTTGAAAATTGTTATATATTGTATGGTAATAGGTCATTTAAATTATAAATATCAGGTGACAATTTACCAAAAAAAAAAAAAAATAGATTTTTTGTAAATGTCCATTTCCTTTCATTTTTGTTTATTTTTCCCGATGCTTTCAAAAATTACTGGAAATTTTCAATTTTGACCTCTTTAATGTACAAATTAGATTCAATTTAAATTCGACAAAAAGACTGGAATTMAAAATAGGAGAATTTTAACYCACTTTTAAGTTGATGACAGTCAGGCATTAAAAGATAAAAAAAACACACTATAACTAAATACATTCATCGCTACGCACAGAATCTAAAATTACAATTTATAACATATGTGATTAGATTTAAATTTCAAAAATTTTTTTAGTCTAGAAAATAAATAAACATTTTGTTTTAAGTATTTTTAGTTATAGGTAGGTAAAATTAAATTATAAGATAAGTAGAAAATATGATGATGACAAATTATTAACTCATAATTTTTCTCTCAAATAAAAAAAATTCAAAAAAACATCCTAAAACTTAAATAAAAGTATTCTTTAAATTACTTAAAAATGAATTCAATTTAAAAAATTGCGAAATAAAAATGTGTTGTATAGATTTATACCTATATTATTGAAATATATTTTAAACTAGGATATCATAGTGTTTCTAAAAAAGATGCAGCAATCGTTTAAATCCTGGCCCTAGTCATTATATAATATTATAATATATGTTTATACGTAAATTTTATACATTATTATTTTAGATATTATATTGTTTTTTATTTTTTCTCTTAATCTCTTGTTAAGAATTATATTAAATAATGATAGTAAAAAATTATACATCTTGTATAGGCAAATAGTATGGCTGGCTAAATATATTTTTTTGGCTCCTCAACTTTTTCTTGTTGCACAATTTTTAATTCAAAATTGTATCTCTGAAATATTTAATGAATAGTTTATCATCTAATAAAATAAAAAACCATGATTTTAATTACATATTTAGGCTTTATTTAAGTCATGTCATTTCATGAACCAACAACAAAAGATAAATTATTTGATTAACGCMTAGGTGTTAATGTAGAGAATAATTAATAATATACAAATACATTTCTGGGCAAAATAAAGACCATAACGGAAACCTGAGATCTAGGACATAATAATCGCCATAAACTAACTAAATAAGTGGATTATTCTGTTTTGTACTTTCTATCCTGAATAATAATTGTAGCAAATGAAACGATTTCATGAGGTCAAACAGTCAATAGTGGGCGTTAAAAGAACGTGGATTGTATATACGTATATTCACCGTCATACAGTTTCAGGTCAATATGATAGAATGGCGTAAATAAATAGGATCTCCAACAAACGTGCCTTCTCTTTTGTTAAATACGAACGAAGGCCTAGAAACACCGATATTGTAATTTAATCTGTRTAATAATTCCTGTTTAATTATGAATGTATCCATTTACATGATTTTATTTTTAAATTATCACTGTTTAAATTGTTTAAAATATTACGACTTATTATAACTTAAAAATGTTAATGTATAAGACTTATTGTTTAATTTTTGGATGTACGTTTTTAATACTTTTATTAATTTTTCCTATTTATCTATTATTGGTACAGACCATATTTGGATAACTAATAACTATTAACTATTTATTATACTCGGAAAAAGTAATGAATGAATAATTTAACTTGTAAAATTTAAAACTTTTGAAYATGATGCATTTAAATAAAAAAATGTACTTAACTGCTTAATTAACAGTAATTATTTGTTTTGTAATTTTTGAATATTGTTTTTTCTATAAGTATAAAAATGTGTTAAATAAGTTTCAGCTATAAAAATAAGCGTTTTACAATACGGTTCATGTCGAACATATTATTATTAGTTTATGTTTACATTATGTGTCAAATTAAATTTTGTTGCGACACAAAACTATATTTAAGTACCTATACCTTTGCTATTGTAGATAATATATTTTAGGGCATACATAGCTGATGGCTRCAAGTTATTGTGATTAACCTGATTATTCGACCATAACATTTAACCAAAACGCTTGACCTTTTTCTATAACCACTATTTAAATAAAATGTTTTTAATCATTACGTTGGATCATTTTTGTTTTTTGAATCATTATTTGTTGATATAATTTCGTTAATATTCTTCTATTTAGACGAATTAAATAATAAT